AAAGCAACGTTATTCCCCAGTGATTAACAAGGTGACACCGATTTACTCAAAACTGCCAGACAGCGTCACTTGCAACGGCAGAATCCCCCACTGGCAGGCAAAACAAGTCGATCCTGTGTACAAATATGTACTTTGTTTAGGCCGTGCAGTTATTGCAACCGAACATCAAAGAATCTGCTGAACATTAACACTTTGGTAGACAAGTGGGTCCAGAGTGTGGCCAATCACTCATCAAGTCTGATATCAGCCTGCATTGCAAGGATACAAAAAACGGTTGGGCTGATTTTCTCCGTGAGCGTTCTTACTGACACCCACCGTTAAGCACTCTGACAGGTCTCTTTGTTCATCTCTGTCTGCAAATGTTAATGAGCTTCGTAATCCTTTGTCCGTCACCCTATAGGCTGCGGTAAAGCGTTCCCCGTTTCTTCTTTCACGCCGTTGGCAATGTCTCGTTCAATCCCTTTACTCTTGTTTTATACTATTACTTCGGTTAGCAGCCTTATGCCACAAATGTTGAGACCTGCAGTTTCTGTTTACGCCTCATCCTCCTACTTCCCACTGACTTCCTTGCCAGATGCCGCCCTGTGTAGGCAAGGGGACTTCTACGCGGATTAAAGCCATGCCATCCTACGTTCAGATTCTTCACTGTTGCCCACTGTGTATGAATATCAGGAAGCCTCTCCATACAGACTTCGAAGGGTCCATAGGCACACTACGCGGCACATGACTTGCTAACCATGTGAAAATCTGAAATTGGGCAGTGTGTTTGAGAACATGCAACATGCCGATTTAGGTAGTCTGTATTTTTGCACTTAAATAATGCGTTAAGCAGCAGCTTATCTACAAACGTTTACCTTCTTTTTCGATTAAAGTAAAGCGTAAGTTTGAACAAAAGGCAGTATTTGGTTCTGTCTTCAGCTTCAAAGTGAAAGTCACCAATAAAGCTGACAAACATTTACTTCCTTCTATATCCGCCTGGTCTGGCAAACTAGACGGCTATTACATCTTAGCCCCTCCTTCTAGACAGATATAGTAGGCTACATTTGGGACTAGGGTCTGACTAACTGATTTAAGATTAAACGGACCAGCTTCGGCCATTACCGACGCGCTGTCCTACAATACGTCTTGCCATTTGCCTAAATACCTGAACCTTCTGAGTTCAGGCTGAACGCACAATGAGGACTCACCTGTTTTCGTTCGGCTTTCTTAAAGCCGGACTAACCAAAGACCGCAACGCTGATTTTTAAACCTTACTTCATTCGCTTTCTGCAACCGTACAAATGCTTTCGCCCGTCATTAGCCATAACAGCGCTATTTCCTGCAGTACCTTGCGGTGTCTGCATCACAGCAATTCCCCATTCCGTCTACCTACTGACTGTGATTTAGAACAGCCAGAGTAAGAACATTATTATCCAGGCAAAAATCTGCAGCGCTTAGACAGCACGTTACAGGTGCTATCAGGTCTGCTAGCAGATGCGTCAGAGTGCATGATTTGGTTGAAGACACCATGAAATAAGCTGACTTACAGGTCCCACCACCTACTGCAAGTGGCGGTCTAAGTCTCGGTATCCGGTGTTTATTGCAGTGTTTAAATGTGGTGTCAATGATGCTGGAGCCATCAATTCCAAGAACCGATTCCAGAGGCAATTGCTGGCCAGTCAGATTTATGAAGTACCGCCATTTTCCCATTTGAAGGAGCATTCGCGCAGCAACGAGTTCCTGTTCTAGAACCGTGTAATCTCCCCAGATGGCACTGACATTTTCAGTTCGAGGAACTACACCAACGTTGGCACCGAAGCATTTTGCGATTTCTTGGACTGCGTCATAGAACTCCTGTGGTGACTTTCTATCTACGTGAATGACGTAGAAGTTTTGTGGCCGATATATGAGACGTAGCAGACGCGCCACCTGATTGATGCTTTTGTACGCAGTGAGGATAAAACCGAGAGGAAAATCCCTCTCTTCTGCTGTTACAGGCACTTCGGTGGGGAAGAGGTCTCGTTTGAATGCCTCGCAGAGTTTGCCAGAGTCCTTGTTCAGGGACAGGAAGTACTGCATACTGTGCGACGGCGTCAAGTGCTTGAACTCGCGATGATCCTTCGACGCGTTGTTGGAAACCGGAAGTCGTATCGTCTCACATTATTCTCCTTCCCAATAAACTCATATGCAGACCTTGTTTTGGTTACGTGACGCTTAAGACTCCAGAGGATGGCAAGTATACACAGGTTGCAAAAGATTGTAATTATGCAAATTGCAGCACCTCTGCACGCCATTCGACATCAACGCGCGCGCGTTCTCCGTCCCGTTATCGGTCATGAAATGTGAGGATCATCTATTTTTAGAGCTTTTTACGTCGTCTACACGCGGTCTCCACACGTCGGTTAATTAGGATCGACTGCGTCTGGAATAGGTAGACTGTCTGATTTGCACGGCAGATTCACCAGTTTTTTTTCAATTCCTACCTAATGTGGTTTTTTTAAAGTCCTCGCCTCTGACCTACAGTTCGATAATTGCAATGAGTTTTCAAATCCATCAGTTATTTTGCGTGACCAAATAACTTATTCTTCCAAAATTTCGGGTTGGTCGTGGGCGTTTAAGGAAAGTAAGTACTACCTAATAGCAGATGCGCTCTTGTAAATTTGATGCCGATTGATGATGGGTGGTATATTTCTGTTTGTGCCTGATCGGTGGCGATTTGCCATTTGTTCTCTCTTTTCAAGAAACTGTGCTGTACGACAGCATGTTACACGCCAATTTTAGACGACGACCTGTGTGATCGTCCCAGTTTGTAGCTTAAACTCTCAATGTATTGTAGTCCTTTAGGGTTATTATGGTGAAGAGTCTGCGGAATGAAATTCAGGACTCTTTTTCTAGTCAGGAATTCTCATGAGCTCTGCGCCGTTTCCGCGTGATATCATATAAAAACGTGTAAAGTTACTTTTTCGTATGTAGCTTAGAAACCCTTAATGCAAATGCGACAGAGGGTGGGCCCCAAATTATTGGGGAACTAAACAAATATTGGTCAGATGTGGTCAGGTAGCCCCACCTGAAGTAAGCAAACACCAGCAACCTGTAACACGCGACGGTTGGTAGTAGGGGGTTTTTACAGGTGTGGGCGGGGAAAGCACAGGCGACGAGGTCAAGTGGTTGTATGCAACAGAAAAGCTGTTGGGAATGCGCGCGCCACATGCACGACCTGACGCCGAAAACAGAAGCACTAGGATTTCACACAACTGAATTTGATCTGCGTAAATGTCACATGCGTGAGAGTGCCGTAGGTCACGCTGGGAGGGAGCCGTTTGAGCCTGGCTCTCAGCCCACCAGTCCGCCACTCCACACAAACGCACACCTAATTGGGCGGACTGCGTGAACTGAGTTGGAACGCCAGTACGCAGTATTCCGAGCAACGATGCTGGACGCGGGGAGGAGCCATATGGAAACACGGCCGAGACGCACACTTCCCGCCTGCGTGGGAGGTGGCAGCTGAATGAGTGCGGTGGGTGATGATGTTGTATGCTGTAGGTGGGGGAAGATGTGATGATGTGGTATAGCCGGCGGTTGTATGCCCCAGATTTTCGCGAATGCGCATGTGGCCTTATAGGCCCATGCGGTGGGTGAATGTGCGACTTCAGTGAGGGAAGTTGGGTGGAATGCGTCTGGTGTATGTTGATGCTCCAGGCACTGGTTCGCCAGAATCTGTGCGGCGGAATATGCTCGTTCCGTTGTGCCTTGAGGCTCATACTAGAACCCCTGTAGGCAGTCGCACCGCGACTAGTAGAGTGATTTAAATCAGGTCGGTACCACCTGATTTACATACATGTATATAGGCAGAATGGCATTAGCGACAAAGACAAGGGAGACTGAAATGGCCATTTCTGGCTTATAAGCCGTCGTCAGCCAGCCATACCCAAGCCCGAAGTGTGGAACACCCGAGTCTCGAACTCGCGATCTGTTGGTTTAGAAGTCCACGCCTCTACCCACCGGGCCACGAGCCCGTTGCCCTGTCGGTTTTCGATCGGGCGATCACCGATCGTTCATACGGAACCCACTCGTTCCGTTGTGCCTTAAGGGCTCTCTCTCGAGGCCAACCAGCAGCCGCACAGCAGCGCATGATATATAGGCAGAATAGCATTATCTCCCTCATACTTTTCATTTTCGTATGACGACCGGTCCGTTTAACCGACTTGAAAATTCACGAGTCTACCTCGATTGTCCGACGAGCCTTCTCCTTATATAAAAAGAGAGCAGAATTTAAGTCCGGGTGAAGGGGACATTTGCCAAGCAAATTACCAAAGCACTGCTAGTGCACGCAGACTATATTTTTTGCGCAACTTCATTTGGACCCCGTCGTGGATAAGACTTGGCTGGAGAGTACAAGGCTGTCAGAGTTAATGGCAAAGCGCCTCTTGCACAGAAAATGCGTGCAATGTTTTCTCTTGAGGAGTATATTCTGATTGGCCCTTGTGACGATGAGCTTTTACTTTTTCTTCCAGCAAAAGCCGTCGTCGAAAAAAAAACTGCTTCTGAGACCATCCTGCATCTGTTACAGTTCTTAATACCTGTCAGTCAGTTGCACCCAATTCCAGCATTAGATGACTGACCGAGTTGGATAGCATGGAATAGGGACGAATGAGTGAGACCAACCCCGGTTATCCCGCCTCCATGGCATTCCAGCGCATTTCTCACCATAAAAAATCCGACGCGCTTTAAGACTATCACAGGGAGGTGAAGTTCGCAGCAGGGAATGCTGCCGACTGACGGGGAAACTCGGTTCTCCTCTCCGGACAGACAGTCAGGCTACAATGACTCCTTCTTAAAGAGTCCTTTATGACACTATGACCCAGCTGGGATCCGAGCTACCCCATGCCCTTGTTATGGGAAGTCCCGGTTCTTTGTGCACAAGCAAAGAGGCGGGGTGGCACGCCTAGGCGCGAGCTCACGCCGCACCTGTCGGCGGAACACGATCCCTCGCCTACTCTTTTTGACTCTGCCTCTCAACCGGACCCATGTTATTCTAAGAAAACCTGCTCGTCATGTGCGGCCTACGTGCTGTGCAACACGTTGACTCTGTCTTGTGACCGGACACAGGACGGTGACGGGTGAGAGAGTGCGTCAGATGCTGTGGAAGTCCGATATCACTAGAAGCTTATTCGCCCACACTTTCCCGCCGTGTACGCACCTCTCTGTGGAGCACAATTTGGACATTGCTGTTTGCGATGGTCGAGCTGATAATATGGTTATCTGAGTAAATTGTGCAGATTTAATGTCCATAAAAATCCAGGAACCATATTTACTAACTGAGCTCGACACTAAGCCGCAGCACTTTCTTCTGTCCTTTCTGCACTAATGTGTGTTCGTTTTTCGGTGATTTCTTATTAACATGTCGGTTTGGGTGGGGTCAATAGGATTCTTGATCTTGACATGTTTCACATCGGTCTCGCGTCGCCTGCCGTGAGTGTCGTGCGCGTAGACGGTCTACTCCGCAACTGCACCTTCAGTCAGTATCAGTCAGTATATTTGGAGTAAACGACAGAAGACCTGAAAACTGCATTTAGAGGGTGCGTATGTAAGGGAAAATATTTAAATTGGAAAACTTCTGTTTGCAGTTTTAGTAAGGACAATTCATAAATCTAATGAGGGAACATAAATGCGAAAGGGGTATGGTATTCGCAAAATAATTGCGAAAAACCTTGTTCACCGTAATCAGACTGTGAAAATTTCCAAATGGGACGAGTTTGACTCATAAAAAGTTCCATTGGCATATGACCTTCTGTAAGAAAAAGGAGGAACGTAGATTTGTGTGGCACAGTTTCCTTCAAAGCTGGTGATCATGTCGTCTGCGATTGGACTTGGGTACCATTTCAAAAAGCGTTTCCAGTCGACATCCAGATTATGTCCTCTTACCAACTGGAACGTTGCTATGAGGCCACCTCTGTCCTGCCCATAGTGGAGGGGATAGAGGTTCAAGGCCGTCAGGCGCTGCTCATACGTGAAATTTTTGAGACGATGAACAGCCTTTGTAGCACGCCGTTGTACACCTTCAAGGATATCTATATACTTCCGAAGCCATGGCCGCCAAGCCTGTACCGCATATTCCAGGTGTGGCCGCACAAATGTCCCATATGATGCGGTTGACATTGCAGTTGACATACGCGTCACCGCCGGCACCTGGAGTAACCAGCAAAGCTCACTGCAAGATGAAACTAAAATCCAGAAAACCTGAACTGACATAGGGAACTATACAGTTAGTTTGAGTCCAAAAGGCTTAAAAATATATTACTTCGCAGCCTCGGGCTGCGGATTGTATGACTCAACGATTTTCTAGAAGACGAATAAATCTGAGATTTTGCGGAACAAGCACGTGTGTACCGAACGACGGTTTGATGTGGACAAAAATTATAAGAATGACCCGAGACTTGGCATTACATTTGTGGATAAGTCTTGAGTTTCGTACGTTAGTCGCCTGTGCAAAGAGCATTAATTGGGATTTGGATTAAGTCTTTGTTTAACTCAGAAATGACTGTTTTTAAGTGAAAACGAATAAAGTATTCAGTTGAAGGCCTTTTCGGCCGAACGCGTGAGCTCGTCATTGCGCAACCCGTTAACGCTCCAAACTAGTAAAAGATTAGTCGACCACATTCCAGTAAGTGGGCAAAATTACGTTGTTACCGCCTTCCACGATGATAGTGAGTGTAATTGGAACTAGCGTTGTGACCTTCATACTCTTGCAGAAATGAAATCTGCTCCGATTATTCAATTACCGTCAACCAAACAAACGTTCGGCATTTGCGATCTACCATCGAGCAGGATGCAGCTGGCTAGTTCCATACCCTGCCCTGGCTGTCTCCGACGAGCATATCTATAAAAAAAGAAAATGTGTCAAGCTCTTAAGAGGACATTAACAAATCGTGATCTGGTCTCTTTCGTCTCCTTAACCATCTCTAGGCCGGCGTGAAAACGCACGTGCTCGGCCATGACCAAGTGCGAGCTAATCGATCGCTTCAAGTTTTCCATCGATAATTCGTCCCGCGGAAATTCCATCGGCTCTCACTTGCACG